GAAGAGGAAGAGTTGGAAAAGATGGAGGAGGAGAAAGAGGAGGAGGAGGAGCAGGAGGAGGAGGAGCAGGAGGAGGAGGAGGAAGTGGAGGAGGAGGAGGATGAGGCGTGGGAGGAGGTGCAGGCGGAGGAGGAGGAGGAGGAGGAGGAGGAGGAGGAGGCAGGAGGAAGAGGATTGGAGGAGGAGGAGGAGGACGATGAGGAGGAGGGGTGGAGGAGGAGGAGGAGGAGGAGGAGGAGGCGAACAACCAGTGTAAACCGAAGATTCATCAACGATGTTGGCATACACCCTCCCTCGACATTCCCTCTTCAGATGCCCCTACAAGAATTCAGTTTAACCGAGGGAAGTGCCACGTTGGAAGACAACCGCTTGAACTTGACACCACGAATCAACGCAGATGTTGTGCCCTGGCAATCCGACATCGTGCTAAAACACCATACTGGGAGACGCTAGCGATCAGAATCCTTGAGACTGCTGTGAACTCTTCAAAAGAATGTTCGTGGCGCTGGAGCGAGAGCCACAGTTGGAAAAGGAACCGCCCTCAATCCGTGAAACTGCTGCAACGTTTCTGACGAATGTGCGCGACGCTAAAGCGAGAGCTACATTTTGAAAACCACCCGCCCTCCATCCGCGAAATTGCTGTAAACTTTTCAGACGGAGGTGCGCGGCGCTAAGGCGAGAGCCACATTTTGAGAACCACCCACCCTCCATCCGTGAAGCTGTTGCAAATTCCAGACTTCAGGATCATAAATGGTGAGGAAGTCTCAGGTGAAACGCCCGGCCCGCCCTTACGACTGGATTCGGGGTGCGACAGGGAGGAGTTATTAACAAGGAAAAGGATTTCAGAAGGAGCAGGAGGAAAAGGATGGAGGAACTGGAGGAGGATGAGGAGGAGGAGGAGGAGGAGAGGAGGAGGAGGAGGAGGAGGAGGAGGAGGAGGAGGAGCGAGGATGAGGGAGGAGAAGGAGGAGGAGGAGGAGGAGGAGGGCGAGGGCGAGGAGGCTTAGGGCAAGGGGGAGGTAATGAACGAGGAGGCGTCTGTGGCATCGTGCATGCGGGTCGCCTCTGTCAGGGCGCGTGCGGTCGTCGCGCCACTCCGCTCCCTTCGCTCGCGACCGTCGTCCTCCCCCTGCCGTTGCCTCTGCGCCCCCATGGCGGCCCCATTCGAGCCCTCCCGCCGCCAGGAGCCGTTCTACGAGTGGGTAGGCCGCCGCAGCGACGTGGCGGGGCGGGTACGGGGGGGCGTTCCGGACGCGCAGCGCCGCGCGCAGCACGGAGACGGGGACTTTGTCAGCGTCTGCTCCCACCTCCTCTCCCCCTCTCCTCGTCCTGCTCCTCCCTCTCCTCCTTCCTCTTCTTCCTCTCCTCCTCCTCCTCCTCCCTCCTTCCTCCTCCTCCCTCCTCCTCCTCCTCCTCCTCCTCCTCCCTCCCCCCCTCCCCTGTCCTCTGCCTCATCCATGTCCCACC